TTTCAATTAGATTGAAATTGTCGAGGTCAGTTAAAAATGTGACATTAGGTTTCTGTGTTGATACTTCGAGAAATAATATTGCATCGATTTCAACTATTCAATAAGAATTCGATTTTCTTTGTGGTTTAACGATTGGTAGTTTGATCCATGCTGATAGGACTTCGAATGAATCGAATATTTTCTTCCAAGGTGATTTTTCAGTTTCTTCTTCTAGCGAATACATTTTTTAAATTTCCAATTATAGGACTTTCGTTAAATTTATATGATTTCAATTTCTCTGAGTCAGATTCAAAAAAAAAATTTTAACCAATAATATTTTTAATTTTATTAAAATTTTTTATTCAAAAATTGTTACATACAAAAAAAAATATAATTCAAAAAAAAAATAAAAATTTGGTTCAATCATTCATTGACTTTTAAAAAAAAACTCAATGTGCAGTTCCACTACGAGCAATTTTGAACCATGGAACCAAAAAAAAATGAATTCCAAGCTTCATCCCTTTAAGGGGAGAGATAAAACAACCCCCAAGCTATAAAAGTTTTATCCCTTCGATGATTCTTCACTTAAAATTCAACAAGAAAACAAGCAAACTTAATGAGGTTCACTATCGAAAATTATAAGAAAACTGTTTGTTAAGTCATTTGAGAACTAGGTATCTCAAAATCAAATGAATTCAGGGTAGTGCTTCTGGACAGGATCTTTTATTTTTGACACAAAATGTACAAAAATATCGACCGCTCACAGTAGTTACAAAGAAACTTCATCCAAACAGCCAACTCAAATCACGCTACTGACAACGATTATTATAGTTTTTAGCCAGAATCACACTGGGTTACTTGGTACATTCTCCCAAGATTTTAGAAAGAATTATAAAAAAAAATGACAAGTTCACTCTTCTCTACTATATTGAAAAAATTTTATGCATAAACTTTATAGGGATTCTTTTAGAATAGTTTAAACTATAGAAGTTCAGAGGCCCTAGTTTCAAAATGTGTAGTCATCGAAAGAGTGGAACAAGTGAAGGGAAAATTTTCTGCAGATCAACAGTTTATATAAATGATTATCATACTAAATATAGAAAAAAAATCATATGATTATCATTTACTAAATTAATTTTTATTGATACGTTTAATTTAATCATTTTTAGAAATAATTTTTAAATTTGAATATTCTATGTATGTAATAATTTTTTTAATCTTTATTTAAAAATACAAATAAAATTAGATAGTTACAAATTTATGCTTATTATCAAAATAAATAATTCGATTGTTTATTTACAATTTTGCACCTATTGAAATTATTTTACTACAAACATGTCTACAATATCTAGCAGAAATAACCAACAAGAGATTTATGAAGACCTACCTCCTTCTTACGATGAATCACAAGCATCAAGTATTTAAACATTAATTTTTCTTTACAAAATCATTGTATTTTTTTTACAAAAACAAATTTTTTATAAAAATTTTAACAACAATTATAACAAAATGACAACTTTCTTTTCAACAGCAGCAGTTGTTCCAGTAATCGAACAAATTGAAACAATTACTGAAGAAATTGTTGCTTCTTCTGAAGGTATAATTTATAAATTATTTATTAAAAAATTTAATATTATTAAATATTTTATTTTATTTTAG